GGGGGGGGGGGGGGGGGGGGGGGGGGCCCCCCGGGCCCCGGCTGGCTCAGGGGGGCTCCCTCAGCAATCTGGGGGCCCCTCATGCTTGAGTTGGGGTAAAAGGCAAAAAAAGACTTTCATTCCTTCAGTGGGACTGCATGCAGCAGCAGGAAAGCGCTGGGATCTGCTGCTGCTGCTGCTGTTGCTGCGCTGCTGCTGCTGCTGCTGCTGCCGACTGGGGGCCCCACCGCTGGCAGGGGGGCCCCCCAGGTGAATTTTGTGGCTGCTTTCGGGAGGTTTAAAGTCTTTAATTTACTATGTTTTAATTAATTTAAATTTTTGATAAATTTAAAGTTAAAAAATAAAAATAAAGAGCAAATTTGGGCCAGTTGGCGAGTTGAGGTGGCGCCTGCTCCGCGCCGCCTCAGCATTCGCCATTTTGCTTATTTGAAACAATTTTGGCATTGAAGCTCATTTAATTGAATTAAATATATCAAATTTATTCAAATTTATTCAAATTAATTTAAATTAATTCAAAATAACTCAAATTAATTTAAATTAATTCGAATATGCTGAAGTTTATCCGTTTTTGTGGCCGAAGTTCTCGCTCGGCGGCGCCCCAGACTGCAGACACTGCTGTGGGATTTTGTGTGAAAATAAGCGCAAAAAAGAATTAAGTAAACCATTTATCTCCAAAATATATTATTTTATCTTTGAAATATTTTGTTTTATCTTTTAAATGTATTATTTCATCTTTTAAATGTACCATTTTACCCTTAAAATGAATATAAACACGCACATATATATATATGTAGTTTGGCATGTATATTTATGGGTGAGTTAGCATTTAAAAGTAAATGTACTTTCCAGCAAAGTATTGACGCATTAAAACACAACATAAATATGTGTATAAATGTATATATATATATATATATATGTACATTTATATACATATATATATATATATATATATGCATAAACATATATTTATATATATGTATATGTATCTATATATGTATATACACATATATATATATATATACATATCTTTACATCCATGTATAGAGATAAATACAAACATACATATATATATATACATATATATACATATATATATATGTATATATACATATGTATATCGATATATATATATATATGTACATGTACATATATATATATATAAGTGCATGTATATATCTATATACATATATATAGATATAAATATACATATATATATGTGCATCTATATATGTATATCTATATTCATATATAAACAATGTGTATATGACCCACTTAAACGGTACATTTGTATATTTATATCTTATGTACTTATGGCACTATAAACTCATTCAAATAATGCATTTAAAATAAGCATAGATATATAAACATATATATATATATACTCATATATATATACATATATATATCCATATATATTTATATGTATATGTATATATCGATATATATATTTTTGTACATGTACATATAAATATATATATAAGTGCATGTATATATCTATATACATATATATAGATATATCTATATATACATATATATGTACATATACATATAAATATATATATATAATACATATATTTATATATATATAAGTATTTATATTAAATATTCATTTTTGTGCGTAAAATGATTTATATATATTTTGAATAGCATAGGTGTGTAGATACACCTGAGCAGTGTATGTACACTGCACACATGTCGAAAAGATATTAAATTTAATTTAATTTAGTTTAATTTAATTTAATTTAATTGTTAAATTAAAGTAAATTTAATTTAATTTAATTTAATGCAATAAAAGATTTCTTTAAATAGAGTAAAGGATGCGAACAAGCAAAAAGGAAAAAAGAGAAAAGAAAAGCAGAAGAAAAAAAAAGAAAAATAAATAAATAAAAAGAAACTAAAAGAAAAAACAAAAAACAAAAAATGAATAAACAAAGAGATGAAAAAGATAAGTCAAGACTTCCTTTTCCTTTTATGTTCTTTTGTTTATTTTTATGTTTTTATTTTTAATTTACTTTTAATTGTTTTTTTTGCTTTTAAAACTTTGCTATTTCTTGCCTTTTATTTATTTCTCCTCTTTTGTGTTATTTTTCTCTTCAATTATTTCTTTCATGTTCATTTCTGTTCGCGATCTATATTTGTTTTTTATTTTATCTTTATTTGTTTGTTGTTTTAATTAGTTATTTATTTCATATTTACTAATTCCTTATTATTTTATCTATCTATTATTCATTTATTATTTCTTAATTGTAGTTATTTACTTGTTTATCTGTTTATCTTTTTATTTGTTTTTGTTTTTTCCCATCTATTTGTTTCTTTTCGAATTACTTGTCTTCTTTTCACTTATTGATTTCTTTTTAAATAATTTTTTAATTTTATTTCTTTATTTTGCCTTCCTTTATTTGCCTTCCTAGTCACTTGTTTTCATCTTAATTACTTTTCTTCTTTTTAGATATTTATCTTCTTTTTATTTGTTTATTTATTTATTTATTTATTCATTTATTTTAAATTATTTATCTCTTTTCTATCTTTTGCGCCAAATGGTTTTTTCCCTCCATTTGTCTTTTTGTTTATTTATTTCCTCTTTCTTTATTTATATCTTTTATTTATTTATTTTATTATTCATTTCCGTTTACTTATTTCTTTTATTTATTTCTTTTATGATATATTTATTTTTATTTGTTTCTCTTTGTTTACTTCTTTTTTATTTATTTCTTTTCACTTATTTTCTATTTATTTCTTTTGAATTACATCGTTTAACCTATATCTTTTAATTTATTTCTTTAAATTTATTTCTTTTAAATTATATCTTTTAATTTATTTCTTTTAAATTATATCTCTTAATTTATTTCTTTCTATTATTTCTTTCAATTCATTTTTCTCTTTTATTTACTTCTGTTTTTAGCCTCTTTGCTGCTGCCTCGGCTGTCCCTAGGCTGTTTTTAACATTTGCTTCCTTGCAATTTTCTTTTCCCTAAACATCTTTGCTGCTGCTGAGCAGCAGCAGCAACAACAACAGCAGCAACAACAGCAGTAGCGGCAGCAGCAGCAACAGTTGTAGCAGCAGCAGCAGCAGCAGCAGCAACTCGCTGCGCAAGCACAGCTGCTTAATGGGGAGCCTCTTGGCCTCTTTCTAAGCTTCATACAGCTCCAGCAGCGCAGAGACAAGCTGCAGCAGCAGCAGCAGCAGCAGCTGCTGCTGCCGCTGCAGTTGCTGCTGCGGTTAGCTGGGCTTGCAAACGCTCAAGCCCAACTATCTAGCCCTGCCCTCAAAAGCTGCTAGCTGTGGCTAGCTAGCTGTGGCTAGCTAGCTGTGGCTAGCTAGCTGTGGCTAGCTAGCTGTGGCTAGCTAGCTGTGGCTAGCTAGCTGTGGCTAGCTAGCTGTGGCTCGCTGCTTGTAGCTAGCTAGCCGTGGCTAGCTAGCTGTGGGTGGCTGCAGCTGCTTGCGGCTACTTAGGACCAGCTGGCTCTAGCTAGCTGCAGCTAGCTAGCTGGAGCTAGCCACAGCCAGCCTAGCTAGCTATGCGGGGCTAGCTGCCCCCAGCAGCCGGCCTCTGCTGCTGCTGCTCGCGCATGCAGGGGCCAGCAGCAGCTAAGGGGAGGCAGCAGCAGCAAATTGGTTTGGGGCTTTGGGCCCCCAAGAAAGAGCCCCCCGTTGGCTGCAGCGACGCGTGCCCCCTTGTAGTGCAGCAGCAGCAGCAGCAGCAGCCGCAGCAGCAGCAGCAGCAACAGCAGCAGCCTATGGGGAGTGGGGCGCGCAAGATCCTTTGGCCTTTTCCGGGGAATATTTGCCGAAATTAAAAACTATTTTAGTTTAATAAAAAGTTAAGAGCAGCAGACGCGGACGTGCTGCTGCGCGGGCAGCAGCAGCGACGCAGCGGGGGCAACCTAAGGCTCGCTGGCTGCTGCTGCTGCTGCTGGTGCTGCAGCTGCTGCAGCAGCTGCAGCCCGGCGAAAAAGGACTTTACGGGGCTTTAATTAAACAAAATTGAAGCCAAGTCTGTGCAGGCAAGACACTGGGCCGCTGGGGCCTGCGAGACACAGCCTGCTGCTGCTGCTGCTGCTGCTGCTGCACGCCGCAGCCGTGCTGGTGAGCCAGGCCAGGTGCTGCAATGTGGGGGGAAAATGAGGAGATAAATGAGTAACAAATCCGAATTGAAGTGCTGTGAAGGACTTTAGAGGGTCAAAATGGTCTATTTGAACAAAAGTGAAGAGAAGGAAGGCTCAGCAGCGGCGCAAGGATGTGCACGGCGCGCATTGCGGTGTCTGTACACCCCAGAACGTGCAGCGGCGGGAGTGGGTCGGTTTCGGGTGTACGTACACCTAATTCGGCACTAATTCGCTAATTGTTTTGCAGCTTTGCTGCTGCAGCCACGGGGGATAACTAGGGGAAAAGAGGCGCTGCTGCAGCAGCAGAGGCAGCAGCAGCAGAAGGCCTCACGGCCACAACGTTGCTGCTGCAGCTGCTACTGGAGTTTCGCTGCTCACTGCGTGAAGCAGGCTTCAGTTTGTCCGTAAATAGGCTTCGCAATTAAGGCCCTGCTGCTGCAGCAGCAGCAGTTAGGGCGCGGGTTGCTGCTGCTGCTGCTGCAGCTGCTGCTGGGCGCCGGCCTCGCTACTAGACCCCCCCCGTGGCAGCCCGAGACAGCCGTGCTGCAGCTGCACGCCAGCAGCAGCAGCAGCAGCAGCAGCAGCCTGGCAAGGCGTATTTGCAGTCCCTGACCTTTCTTGCTTCTTTAAACTGACGCAACACTTTATTGCTTGCTTCCCTTTGCTGCAGCAGCAAGGGCTCCCCTGCTGCTAAAGCCCGAGACAGCTGCTGCAGCTGCTGCGCCTCCGGCGGTAGCCGCTGCCGCCTCAGGTGTACGTACACCTCAAACCCTCGCCTGCTGCTGCTGCCCCTCCGCATTCTTTGTCTCTTTTGCTGCTTCCAAACAAACCTTGCTGGCAGGTTTTTCTATTTAGCAGCCGTTTCCTGCAACACAGCAGCGGCAGCAGCAGCAGCGGAGGCAGAAGCTGCAGCAGCTGCAGCAGCAGCAGCAGCTGCTGCTGCTGCAGCCTAGTCGCCCCAGAGATCAGATGGACGCCCTGCTGCTGCTCCCTGGCTTTTGAGGGGGGCCCAGCATTCCCCGTACATGCGCTGGGGACTGCAGCAGCAGCAGCACCAGCAGCAGCAGCAGCAGCAGCAGCAGCAAGTCGCACTGCAGGCAGCAGACAAGCAACAGGCGGCAAGGTCCCGCCCCCAGCCTCCGGCTTCCAGCTGCTGCTGCTCCCTGCAGCAAGAGCTGCTGCTGCTGCTGCAGCCCAGTTGCTGAAGTTCCCACAGAAGACTCGCAAGGCCCTCTCCCAGCAGCAGCAGCAGCAGCAGCAGCGGCAGCAGCAGCAGGGGACAAGCCCAGAAGCAAAAAGGCGTAAGCCAGCTGCAGGGCCTTTTTTAGCAGCATTTCCTCCCGCGCTTGCTGCAGCAGCAGTACGTTGCTGCTGCTCTTTTTGCCGCTGCTGTTGCTGCTGCTGCTCACGGGGTTTTGCTGCTGCTGCTGCTGCAGCTGCAAAGAGGCACGCTGCTGCTGCTGCTGCTGCTGCTGCCTCTAAAAATGCGGATAGTGAGGTGGAGCACGCAGCCAGAGTTACGCATTCCCCAGCCACTGCTAGCAGCAGCAGCAGCAGCAGCACGCGAAGCAGCAGGCACTGCAGCAGCTGCATCTTCTGCACGCAGCAGCAAAATGAAGCCTGCGAGCTGCCCGTCTCTTTGCTGCTGCTGCAGCTGCAGTCTTATCTCGTTGATGTGCTGCGGTACCTGCGAGACACAGCAGCAGCAGCAGCAGCTGCTGCTGCTGCAGGAGGGGTGGATGCTGCAGAGGCACAGAAAGCAGCAAGAGCAGCAGAAACAAACTACGCACATCACCTCCAATTCATACTAGGAAGCTCGTGTGCTGCGCTGCAGCAGCAGCAGCAACAGCAGCAGCGTTTGCTGCAGTGCAGCACCAAAAGTAAGTGAGTGCAGCAAAGACGTCAGCAGCTGCCCTTCGCTGCAGCAAAATGAAGCAGCGCCTGGCCCCGAAGAGACGCAGCAGCTGCTGCAGCAGCAAGAGGTGCAGCAGCAGCAGCAGCAACAGCAGCAGCAACAGGAAGCAAGAAAACGCAAATGTGGGGTTTTTGAAAACAAATGGACAAAGCGGCCGCAGTGGGGATCGTACGATCCCCCCGCAGACTATACGAGGCCGCCTGCAGCAGCAGCAGCAGCAGCAGCAGCAGAGGAGCCCACTGTAACAGTGCTCATGTCGGTGCAGCAGCAAGGACCTGCTGCAGCAGCAGCACTTACGTTCCCGCACCCTCCCCCTGCTGTTGCTGCACTAGCAGCAGCAGCATGCCCCAACCTCGTAGCAGGCATTGTGACGCCTGAGCAGCAGCAGCAGCAGCAGCAACTCTGCGCAGCAGCAGCAGCATCGGCAGAGAGCCGGACGTGCTGCTCGTGGGCCGTTGCTGGCAAACAAGCAGCAGCAGCAGCAGCAATTGCTGCTGCTGC